ATATCACTTACAAGTACTGCAGTTACTTGCATAGTCATAAAACAGTGAAAACCAGTTGTTATAAGAAATCTGTCGTCATTTCAAATGTTAAAATGAAAGCTGATGGAACCAGATGCAATTACTTATATCTACAATGGTGTAATTCACTGTGTTGTTTAGCTTATGATAAATCAGCATCAAGATCTTTGGACAATAACAAGAGATTATAGTAAGTCTCTAAAGCAGAACTGAAGTAGATTCTCGGTTTGTTGCAGAAACATGTACTGCGTACTTTGGAAAGAAAGGGCGTGAGTTCTGGGAGAGAGGATAGTGGCTGGAATCTTCCACCACCTACATTTACTTTGAAGATGTTAAAAGTAGAGGTGTTCTTGACTCTTCGTGTTTGCTTTTTGGATGTATAACACAGCAAATCTTTTGAGAAACTTAGAGGTCAGGGATGTAGTATATTTTATTAAATGGTTTCCACATCATCTAAATCACGTTGATAGCTCTATTAGCCCCTGCAGTATCCTGAACAAGGAAGGCAAGAGGATTTTTTATTTTTGTTTCACTCTTCCTCCCCCTTCCCCTTCCTGTGTGTTATGAGACAGAGAAAGTGTATTGAGTTAAGCAGCATGGTTCAAATCTTGTCTGTTTTATCCTTTGCACTGAAGTCTGGTGTCTTAGGAGACGTATAATTTCCTCAATCTATTTATAAAATTGTGTGAGTTACTTTTAGGCAAGGTTAGTAATCAAGTCCAAGCCTATAAATGGAATGACTAATCCCTTTGACAATAGCAATAATGTTTCTCAGATGGAAGGGGTCACATAAACTTCTCTGTTGACTTTTTATCTAGGTTATAGACTGCACTCACCTGTGAGTTACTGAAAGAACCTACAGTTTCTGCTCCACAGCAATATGTTGTTGAGTTGCCAATCTCTTCATTGCAGCGTCAAAAGTGTGAGTTACATCCTCTATGGCTGAACCACACCGTAGATTAATGTTTTAGTTGAAGAGAGGGATGTCTGTATTGGGATGTAGAAGTCCAAGAGAATAGTAAGCATGAAGTATTGTACGCAGTTGCCCAGTAGCATGTATTCAAGAGAACAAACTAATATGCCTCTCACAAACAAAACTTTTTCCCGTATTGCATGTGATGTGCTTTCATGTACCTAAGTACACCTCCATTCCAGGAATTTCACATCTAGCAAGTGATTGAATTTTGCCTTTATGTACTCTTAAAATATAAAACTGACACACCAGTTCGTGTTAGTCTTTGTTTCACACAGCTTAAGCTGTACCACTCCCTTTTGTAAACTAGAAGGCTTCCTGTAGCCCTCAGTTTCCCACAACATTGCTGCTGTATGATTTGCTGGGCTTAAAATGGTAGGGAGGGATGAAACCAGAAGTACTCAGTGTGGCAGTGGTAGCTTAGGAAAGGTGGCATCTCTGATCCTTTGGCAACAGATGATCTCCCCTGTGTTGTATTCCCTTGGTCTCCTGCTATGCAGAAAGCTGTACCTTTGCCTATTCTGTATTTGTGTTTTTACCTCCAGGAAACTGGAACTGATGGTTAACTGAAATAACTCTCAGGCTTGCGCTCTCCCTAAGATGCCCTTGGTGGATGGTGTATCAGGGTATGGCTGTTTACTTATAAAATTTCAGGAGCTCATCCAAGATTATCAGCTTTAGTGAGAATTTAATGGTCAAGTTTTGTAGAGGTTAAAAATGCTAATACTTCCTGTTGCAACACTGCTGAGAGAACCTAATAGTGCTTTCAGGATTAGTGTGTGAGATGTGAATACAAAGTATAAAGATAAGAGGAATCCTATATAAAAGGGATTAATCCTGTATTTGTTATTAAGGGCAGTGGTTCTATTTTAAAGTTACAGCCAAGCACAAAATTTTGCATCTCTATTAAATATTGTCCCTACTCAATAAACCTTTTGAGTATGTGTTGGAATCTGAAGCATGTGCTTAACTGCTATGCTGAATTGGGGCCTTCATTACCAAATTGCAGGTGTATGTTAGTTTAAGTATTTAAGGAAAAAAAAAAAGTAAAACAATGCTTATTTTGTTCTGTTCAGTGTAGTTTGTTACATTAATGGAAAACATCAGAAATGCTGTGCTGTTGCTATGCTGTCTGAAACAGATTTAACGTAGTTAATGGCTTGAGTATTCAGTATGAGATAGGGTCCAGTTAAGAATTAACATGGAGTGATGAAATGAAAATTTAAAAAATGAAAGTGAGATTCTACTTTTTTGTGCATAATATTGTTGTAGAATGAGGCTTTAAAATGTTTTCCTGTTTAAAAGTGTGTTTCAGTGATATTTTGTAAATTCTTATGTGGATATTAGAGCATTTATTATATGTGTACGATATATAGATGGGGGCTCTGTAAACATTTCCATAATAAACTTCTCTGTATACTAGGGCTTAATAACTTGCTCATAAAAATGTGCTTTGGGCATAAAAGTGGTGTACTAGTCTGCCAGAAAGCTTGTGCTTTAAAAATAAATAAGATAAATAAATCTTATTCGAGAGAGATTTAGAAGGAAACTGAAGAAAAAATGTGCTGTACCTAACTCATTCCTGATAAATATTTGATCAATATGTTCTTTAATAAATTAAAAAAAAACCCCACTTAACTAGACAAACTAGTTCAGTGCTGAGCTAATCTTTCTAGTATACTTCAAGTCTGAACTTTCGCTTTAAGTCTATTGCTACATGAAATGTTCACATGTGTAATGTAGATAAAGCGTTAGTTCCTTGTTTTCAGCTACATCTCATAGGTTTGAGAACTCGCCTGGCTTCTTTAGATTTCTTTTCGCTAAATTTAAGCGGACAAAGGGGTTTCAGTGTTTCTTCATTAAATGTGTTTTCTCAGTCTCTGATAATTTCAATTATTTCCTTCTGGAAAGTCTCCCATTAATCTACACATTTCCTAGTGTCCAAAGCTGGGCACGTTGCTCTTAGGCCTTTGAAGAAAGCAGGGGGATTATCCTTCTGTGTATTCTGGGGTGCTTCATTCTCTGATGTAAGTATCTATACAATGGCTACTGTGTAGAGGCTATTAAGTAGAGTACTATTTAACAATTCCTTAATTGTTTCTTTTGCTGGCTGCCTGGGGAGAAGAAAGTGTTGCAATAAACAGAAGAAGAAAACATGTTTAGAAAGGAAATGAATATTGATTTTTAGCACACCTGTTAGATATAAATCCGTGTAACATTGTCTTGTATCAGTTTTGGTATGCAGACCTGTAAAATATGCTTTTCTGTAAGATAGGATACCTATAAAAGGCCTGTGGTCTGTTAACAGTGAAATAATTATTTAACTGTAAAACCTGGCTTTGCTTCACTGGCATTTTACTGAAAACCAGGGTGGCTGAGAGCTATTGATTCATACTTTAGTTTCGTATGAAAATTTTCAAAATAAAGATTTGTTTTATTTTCCTGATACTTTATTCCATCTGGAATTGGAGAAACAAGTTGAAGGGTTGTCTGTATTTCCACAGACTGTGCCCCTGCCCCGATGATTTTTCTGTTGCAGAATAACCTCAGTGTTGCTTGTGGGATGTTTGTGCTCTGAAGCAGAACCACTCATGCAGATGTGCTTTCCATGCAAAAAGTAAATCAGCACTGTATAAAACACATCAATGTAATAGGGTTTGTATTACTGTAGTGCTACCTGTGTAGTTTCAGTAGGCCAAAACACCTCTGGCACACCGAAGTCCTTTGTTACCCGTCACAAATGTGGGCTTGTAACATGCTATAGGAATTGTACACTAGAGGGCTTTTTTCCTTTTCTCCACCAACATAAAATTTAGCTATAGCTACGTTGTGCTAAATGAGACCACCAGATCTTTGCTCGTCTTTGTGAGACATTCCCTTATTTAAAATATTGGACTATGATGACAAATAGGAGACAAAAGCGGTGAAATAAGGTACATTCTGGCTTACTATAAATGCTGTGAAGTCTTTATTTTTACTTAGCAATGTTGTGGAGGAGCTGAGAAGTACTTACTTCTCTTAGCAATGTGTCTTCCGACCAAGGCAAATGACACAAGTCTAGATTCAGTATGTGTTCGCTTGCATGTTTGTTAGCTTTGAGATTGTTTAGGAAAAGTTCAATTTGATACTGTTTTTTTTGACCTTTACATATATAAGTATATTAATATAATTTGCAGGTAACCAGGACATTTGGGGTATGGTCTGGAGTAACAATATATAGATTTAGTAGGAAGTTTTGGTGTTTCCTAGATTATGGTTTCAAATCAGTTGGGTTTCATGTAATACTGACTGTATCTGTGGCATTTTACAGTAAAGTTCAAAATGAATATTGTGTATTGTGAAAGACATAGACATTTTAGTAGGTATAAATCTTCATATTTTCATTCAGGGTTTGACCTTGGGTGAATACATAGGCATGAGGATAGATAGTCTGCAGTTTTCTTTTTGTCCTTGCTGGATATAAACTAAAATCCCTCAATGATATTTCCCATAGGAAGGTGTGTGAAATCAAATGAGGGACATAGTCCCTTGAAAATAAGGGTAAGAGAAAAATAGAGTTGAAAAACAGCCAAATAGTGTGAGTGATATTTGCATATGCATTTTTAGCTATTGTAAATTAAGGCTTAATTTCCAGATGGAGTGTGGAGTGAATCTGAAGAAATAAAATGTGAGAGTCCCAATTTCTTGAATGTCTCTTTTTCTTATGTTTTAGCTGTATTATCAAGAAATAGAAAGAAATTAGCTTCTAGTGATGAAGTAGTTGAATGAAATCTGAAAAAATTACATACGTATACATATTTTTTTCTACTTTCTACTTTACTTGTTTTTCATTCATTGCCTAGTACTCTAACAATGCTGAAGATCTCAGACGTGTTCTGCAGATGACAGCTAACCTATTTGTATTTATCAGACAGAGAGACATACAATGTCGCCATTGTATTATCTAGTGCTGTTCCACAAACATTGGATGGATAACCAAGTAACTTTTATTTTTCTGTTGTCTTCAAAGGGACATCAGAGATGGCTTCAGAAGAAAAAGCTTCTATCCATCTCATTATATGAGAGAGCGATCCCCTCATAAGAGGGACTCTCCTTTCTTCAGGGAATCGCCAGGGAGCCGAAGGGATTCTCCGCACAGCAGATCTGGCTCTAGTGTCAGCAGCAGGAGCTACTCTCCTGAAAGAAGCAAAGCCTATTCTTTCCACCAGTCCCAGCATAGCAGAAGTATGTCATCTTTACATAAAAGAAATATTTCTTCTCAGCAAGGTAATGCTGGATTAATGATGAGAACTGGTTAGTGAGGTAAAACTGCAATTCACTGTATAAGCCCTTTTTCTTTACATGCTGTCTTTTACAATGAGAAAACTAGACATTTTGCACCAATTATGTGTTGTCTGCTCTTTGGATGTTTCATTGTACTCTCTGTTCCCTTATGTATTTCATGTGGGAGATTGTAGGTGTTATTTCAGTAGCAGCTCTAGACTAACTGTAGGAGTTTCAGCTGCACAGTATCGTATGTTATTTTCCTTTTAGCATCAACTGCTTCTGTTACTTCTTTATGTGCTTCATTGGATTCCCTTACAAGAAACTTTGCTGTCATCTATAGCTGATGAAGACTTTTCTTCCTGGGGAAGAGAGGGATTAAAAAAACTGGAGAAGTTAAAGTACATACTGCTACTTGTTACATTTTTTCTGAAAATGTTCTTAGAACTGTATTATTAGGGTTTTGAAGCTGGTTGTTTTTTAGCAATTTCATCTCATCGTCAGATTCTCTGAAATCTTGCTTTCCTCAAAGAAATGTGAAACATATCTCAGTTAAATCTATAGTGTGTATGTTCTGCCTTTTAAAAGGTTGGCTGTTAATCTTTCCCAGAAATCTAATGAATCATCTGTTTTGAAAATATTTAAGGTTTTCCTATTTAAATAATTTGCAAAAAAAAAAGGCAAAATTGCTTTTTTTAGTGTACTACAATCTTAGCCACTGCTGTTTGTACAGCTTATGTGAATTAATCCGATTTGATTTCCCTTTCTGCAAATGCTTTCTAGTGAACTATACAAATCTACTGTTCATTTTGGCAGCTTTTTAAAAATTAATTAGATTTTTTTTTTTTTATTCACTGATAGGCATATTGTGTGTTTCCAGAGTGGCAGACTGGACCGTTATGTATCACTTCTTGCCAAAAAAGATCTTGTGGAATTTAGTTAACATTGTTTAAATATTGAGGAATCATTTCACTCCTTGTAAGAATACAAATTATCTTTCTAGTTCATCATTGCAATTCTTTTAACGTTTTGTAGCAATAGTCATTGAATGTGAATATACTCCACTCAGCTGGAGTTTAAAGAATCCAGTGTAATGAAGGAGCCATGTAGGAGGCAGAGTTAGAGTAATCTGTAAAATTGAAAGGAGGTAGCTCATCCATGGGGCTGAAAAGCAGGTATCACAGAAGCAAAACTTGTGTTACTTGGAGGTGTCAAGGGAGACATACTGTGCTTTTGGGAGTGTGACAGATTAAAGACATGATTATTTCTATCTTCACGTTTTTGTCATATACTTTGTATTTATAGGAACTTTTAATTTTTCACAATTTTTCTTTTTGCTATTTCTTTTCATTGTTAAAGAGCTTTTTTAGTTAAAGGTAATTCATAATTCACCTTTTGTTTTATGGCTAGTAGAAGTTCTTAAATAAGGCTGCTTGCTATGTTTTTAAGTACGCTCTCCATTTAACATCATCTTCAAATCAAGGATTAAAGTGCAGTTTGGAACATTTGCTTTTGCCAGAGTAACTTCCCCAACTATTTTCAGTAGCATTTTTGAAAGACCCATCAGTAGCTGTGAAGATTTTTGCATGGATTAGGGCCTTCAACATCATAGCAGTAACTCACTTGCCTCTAACAATGTGTAGAGATGAGCAGGTGTTTGATCTTTGCTTTGTATTAAGTCTACGCTATACGTATGGTATGAAAATGTGAGGAAAGAGTAGAAGACCAACTTTTCAAATACCTTTCCTATGTTTAAAAAGTATGCATTTTGCATAGACTTTTCCTGACATTTTTTGTGTAGGTAGTGGTATTTTAAAATACACAACACGACACAGTCGTCTTTTATGGCATTGAGTAAAAAAAGAAAATAGCTCAGCTATTAGGAGTGAGATGTCATGTTTGTTCTTGCTTGCTTCGACTCATTAAATTAAAGCCATATTTGTTTATAGTTCTAATAAAATAATTTATATCCCAATTTTCATAACTATTTGATAGACTTCTTAATTCATCCCTTTCTTAATTGTATTGATACAAATGTAATGGAAGCCAAGGTAAGACTATATTGTTTTCCATTTGTGAACAGTCAACCGTTTCCCAGTGAGTGTGAATACTCTAGTTAATTTAGGCCTATTAACAACACATTTGCTTTTCGTATTTACCTTTTGCAGATCCCTTAGATGTAATCCATGGACCACAGGTTGAAAACTAGTAGTTTACACTGCAACCAGTTCTGCTGCTGCGGGCTGCCTGTAACCGGTCTGTGGCAAGGCTATGCACAGAATGCGATTAGCACAATGAATTTGAATTGTCATTTTGCCAATTTTAACTCCTACAAGAAAAACACTGATAATACAAGAAGCATCCAACCCGTGGTTTATACAATACAGGACTGTTTCCCATGGCAGGGCTTGTCAACATACTGTGGCCTGCTAAACCAGTTCCTACACTGCGTGGTTTCCTGGAATGATTGATTGTTGTCTAATATTTCACCCGTTTATATTATTACAGGAATATTAAAAAGTAAAACCACATCATCTTGCCAAATCATATTGATACACCCTTTTAGTTAATGTTGAAAAAGAGGACAATGGGTTTTCCTAAATGTGAAATAATATAGCTATATCTCTTCTCTCTTTGTAAAGAGAAGAAAGTGTTATCAATATTTATCAGATGGTGGAGCATGTAGATTTCATCTCTGACTTGAGCGAATTTCACTGCAATTTTTCTAAGCCAATAACTATGTTTGCAATGTATATCTTTAATATAATTTTACAGTCGTTAATTTTTTCTTAATTGTAGGTAAAGAGAGGACGTCAGTTCAATCGCTGAAAACATCAAGAGATGCATCACCTTCAGGCTCCACAGCAGTACCCTCATCAAAGGTGAATTTTCTTTTCGAGTACTTCTCACCATGGTTTTAGACTGGTCATTGTTGTTGGATTTTTTCCTCAGTTGGAGGGAGATATTGTATGCAGCTGTTAAGGAAAGGAGCATCTTGAATTGCTCTGCAATCCAGCAGAGGATAGGTTTCCCTTATCTGGCAGGAAGGTGCTGATAATGCTGTGTATCTAATGATGACACCAACAAACCTTTTTATTCTGTATTCACTGTCTCGTTTTAGGAGAAAGGGAGTTTTGTGTGTATTTAAAATTGTCATTTTCCAAAGTCCAGAGTGTGCTAGAAAAGGAATGGCAAGGAGAAAAATGGGGAAGCAGTTTTTAGGAGCAACAGTTCAATTGGACAAGCCTGTACTTGCACTGAACTCCATCCTTCAGTGATTCCTAAGCCGTGACGGGATTTGGAAACAGTGTGGTGAAGTGTCTGACTGACTGGGAAGATAATGTGAATAGCAGAGTTGGCTTGGAAGCAGGGCTGCTCAAGGATATGGCAAGAATGATAGCGTTTACTTGGGAAGGGAGCCACGTTGCAAGATAGTTTGGTAAATGCCGTTTTATGTTCTAAATGATGCTGTTTAATTTCCCCTCAAAAAAATCTTGTGGGCTGAGCACCAACTACATAATCTTGCTAATTAGTTAAACGGACAGGCTAATAAACACTAGTGAACGGTCAGCATTCAATATTGTTCTGGCTGTCCTGTGGCAGCAAAAACATGCCTGTAAATTATATTTGAGGTTAAAATGAACACTTCCACGGGAGTATTTTCTCTAAATTCTTGAGAAATACTTTAATGAGAAATAAAGAAACAATGCATTATATTGTTCTAAGTGAATAAGGTCCTATTAAAAAGTAGCATTCGCCCTAAGTAGCTTGGTGTACTATCCTGGTTCTTGAGGTCTTTTTAATAAAAGCTGTGGAATGCTTAAACAAAAAAAAAAAAATTGGAAGAAAGAAAGGTACTTTTTGTTGTGAGAAGGTGAAACTGAAGGAAATAATTAGGTGGGGGAAAAAATCAGGCTTTGGTCGTGCTATGTCATTCTAAGTACTTATCCCTTATGCAGCTCTTTTAGAACTGCTGTGCTAGGCATTAGGTAATTGCCAATGTCCTTGAGGGGGGAGGCAAGCGATATATTTTCAGCAATGTAAATAAGGAAAGTAAGATAAAAGCTGTTATGCACAAGTTACACTGATTTGGATTATAAAATAAACTTTATAATTAGTTCACCTATTTTGCTTACAGACTCAGCATACTACAGCTTAATACCAAATCCTTGCTTAATACAAACCTTTGAGAACAAGGAGACATTGCAAAATCTCTTGCTCTCGTATTAATATGTAGTGTGAGCTTGAACTATAAAGTATTCTTTAAATGTTTTGCTTTCTTCTTCAGTGATCATCATCTTCTGATCTATGCTGTATTGGGTTTTTTTTGCCAGCAGTTTGCATATATCTGCTGGCAGTGGATATCACTTGATGTAAGCTACACAAAATGAAACTTTCTGTTTGATCGAAATCATTTCCCCAGACAACACAAATATTTATTGGGTATGCATCAGCTGCAGAAGTGAAAGTATTTCAGTGACCTTTTATTGCTTTTCTCCTGAAGTCCCGAAATCTGCTTGTAATGTACTGTCTTGTGGCAGTGGAGCCTCTTGGGGTGATAGCTGGATTACACCGACCAGTTAAGTGATACAAGTGCTTCACTGACATAGAAATATCAGCAGAAAAAGTCTTGGCAAAACATGATGAACATCTCTAGGGCCAGGGTCTTACAATCTACATAGATTTGAAAAATGAGTTATATATTTTATTTTATAGATTAAAGGAGAAAATTTTCAGTGCTCTAAGTTATAATTTGGCTTTGAAATACTTACAAAGGTATATGCTTCTGCAGCAATATTTCTTTTCACTGTAGTAACTATATGCAAATCTGAAAAGGTACTCTCATCTGTCTTATAATTAATTTTTTACATATTCATGCATGTGAATTAATACATGTTGGTATTATCTGATCTTAACCAGCTGTTTAATTGACTACGGCATGAAATCTTTTGTGTTTCTCTTTAGTAGCTGTCTGGACTGCAAGCCTTGGAGGCTGTATCCGACATAATTAGAGCAAAAGGCAGATGTGTGAGACAGGGAAAGCTTCCCAGCAAAGATAGCAAAAAACTGACAGGTTTTTGCTGTTCTTATGTTATGCATAAGGTAAAAAATTAAAAAAAGACACCTCTGTTTTGAGGCGGGGGGGAAGTTTGGTTGCTTTTTACAAGATACACTAGGTTGTTCATTTCTCGCAAGTTTGCAGCCTAAGTAAATATGTTCCTTTCTTCAGTTGTAGTGTTCCTGTGGAAATACCATTACTTCATTACATAAAATGCACTCAGAATTTTTTAACACATATTTATTGACATGCGATCTACAGAATTAAATTTAGTGAGATTAAATTAAACAGATTCTTTTTGCTGTATTCCAGTAGATACTAGAGTAGTTAGTTTCTTTTATGGCTTGTGGAAATATTGTAAGTCATGTGAGATTTTATTTATCTTCATTTCATGCAAAACTGACTGTTGGTGACAAAGATACTGGTCTTTTCTTTTGTTAGTATTGGCCAGAGCTACATTTGAGGAAAGGGAGAGATTCATAATAATACCACAATATAAGTTTTTTTGGCAGCTAGGGAAAAATCAGGTTAAAGGTAAAAGTCAGGCATACTATGGGGAATAAGAACATGGTGGGAAAAAAATTTGGCAGCAGATAGTTTGTAGTGAGACTGGTGTAAAAACAACTGTGTAGTTTTGAAAGGTGAGCTGGGCTAGTTATTCTATGAATTATATTACCCCTTTCTTTTAAGAACCCTCTTTGTACCCCTGCATATTGAACTTTGTCACCTCCTGACTCCGCTGGTTATAATTATGTAATTTACAATTATAGAAAAGAGGGATTCCTATTTGAACATTGTGTTGCACTTCTCTTCTGGATTCAGATAAAGATGGTGTCTTTATGACACAGAATCCTGGAAGGGTTCTGTGAATTGTATACTTATGCCATACTACAGCACAAAGAGATGTTGGATAGTATTTCACTTGAGGTAAGCACAAAAGGTCTGAAGATGAAACAGTCTATTTGCTTCCTCTGACCATTTATGTAATTTGGAATGAACTAGCGGTAAGAGGGGAGTGTTGGTTTTTTTTGTTTGGTTCTTTGTTTGCTAAGATGCAACAGGCATTCGGCAGAAATTGTGACAACCTTTTTCAGGCAGCAGGATTTTCTGTCTTTTTTAGATATCCACCTTAATGTTGCATTTTTTAATACTAGAGTTGTACAGATTCTTGGGTGGATGGTTCTATAAGTACAGCTGATTCAAATGAAATACCCACATATTAACAAGATTTATAAAGCTAGCTATTCCTAAAATGATTTTGGTACGTGGGTATTTGTCATTGTCTGTTTGTTGCTCTGTTAGTAAAAGCCAAATCATATTCTTAGAGAGAAATCAATTTTTAAATATTATTTATATGAGTATTTCCACCTGAAAGGTAAATTGAAGGGCCATAAAGCCATGACTGACTCTATTATGTGATCAACGTTCCCCCCAAATAAAAAATAATGAATTTTAATGGAAGCACCTCTGATAATTTAAAGTATGTATAAAATACCTTTTATCTCTAATTAGCTTAGGTTTTATACCCTACACAGTATTTAATAGTTTAGTTTAAATTTGTTACAACCTTTTATGCCTGAAAATCACATTGTATTATTAGATCACTCCACACTTGTATCTGACTTCTTAGTGCCCATTTGATCCATGTCTGTTTAAACTCAACTGGTCTCAAATAATTTTTCTGTCATCTCTGTCCCATGAATTTAATAAAATTGGTTCTGAAAGTATGGTGCTGTTTTTAACATTTTACTGAACTTAATTGATTTATCTTTTTTTCTCTCTCTTTTTTTTTCTCTGCTCTCTCTCCACCCACTTTTCTTTTTAAAGAAATCAGTCAGCAAATGAAATAGCTTCAGCTTCCTTATTTCCTATTTTAAAATGTTTTGGGGATCTGAATAACTATTTATTTTAGTTTTGAAGGTGTTTTGGCATGTGTAAATATATTTCATGTTAAACCTTGACTATAATGTTTTTGTACAGGCCTTGGATAAGAGCAACAGATTATCAGAAAAGGAACTTGCAGAAGCTGCAAGCAAGTGGGCAGCTGAAAAGTCAGAGAAGGCCGATGAAAGCAATTTACCTGAAATAACAGACTATGATGTAAGACAGGAGTATTAATCAATTTATTTTAAAGTGTTACAACAATAGACACTTGTTTTTCTGCACTCTCTGGAAAGGCACATTTTGTAACTTACCCCTGAATTTGTCTGCCTATGCTATTAAATAGGGAGGGAGAGGGAGACTAAAGCCTTGTGAGTGAGGTATTTATTTATTTATTTATTTATTTATTTTTAAAAATACACAAAACCAGAGTAGGTTTTGTTAGTATAATTTGAATTCATGTTGACAAAACAAGGCTCCAGCTCTCCCAAGGATTCTCCAAGGAACTCTTGTACTAGTGTAAGTATGTATGCCTACTGAACTCCTTAAAATTAGCAAGGGAATTCTGAGTCAAAATACGAGTGTACATGTAAAACATAAGACTTAGAAGAGAGACTCTGGTTTATTGAGTTCAGTTACATGCCATGTCAGCCTGCCATGTCATGTATTCCTTTTCAGAAAGCAGTCCTCCTCTATATTAAAAATTAAGCTCTTCCTTGGTACTGCAGTGGGTAGATATTTTTCCCCCCAGAACCTTTATTTCATCAATAATCAACATTAATTAATTGCCAGTTTATACCCATCTGTTCTTGCCCCTTCTTGTCTTCTACCCTTTGCTATATTGAAGTGTGATTATACCCCTTTTCAGTCTTCGTTTTGTTACGCTGCTCTTGGATAGGGGATGTCTTTTTTGGATTCTGCTATGTTAGTGGAAGATGTATTTGTCATTTAAAAGAAACCAAATGTCATGTAATGTCTTTTCGTAAAATAGCCTGTTTTAATTCTGTGATCGTTTCATCTTCAACTTTCACTTTGCTTCAACTTTAGAGGCACTCTTACAAAAACAAAATAGTACTTACTTTACAAAGTCACGTGTCTTAAACTTCGTAATTAATGGGTTTGTATTTTATATTTGTTTGTAAATAATTTGAGGGAAAATAAAAGCATCTCGGGAAGCATCAGATTTCCTCCTTGTGTTTCACACTTGTGGAACCTAAGGGCTAGATTAGAGAAATAAACTCATTGGATCGATATTTATCTGAACTTTGAAGTCCTGTCCATTGATGTAATGGCTGAGTGCATCAACAGCTTCTTGATACTGGACAGGAAGATCCAGTTGAATAAATAAACTGTTCATTTCCCTCCAGGAAAAAGAAATTAAAAAAAAAAAAAAGGGGGAGGTGTTGGAGTGAGGAAAAAGAAGCAGCAAACTGATCCAAGGATGAATGCCATTATGGAGGAGAACATATGCATGGACATTTCTGAGAGGTTCAGGAGAGTAACAGTGAAGACAACTGTCACTCCTGTTCTTGATGAGGGGAAAGTAATGCAAGGGAGGAAAGAACAGAGCGGGCCATATGGAGAAGAGTTGTTTAAAGCTTCCTCTGTGCCTCAGAGAAAGTTGCAGTAGCAAAAAGATTCAAAATAAAGGAAGATTCAAAATAAAACAATTGCAATTGATTGTGGCAGTCTGAGATGATTTATTGGCTAAGAAAGTGTGCAATAGGCATGCTAGTGAAGGCGGTGAGGCATCTCATTCTGAGTCTTAGAAGAAAGGATACTTCTCACCTTGATTAGTAGGCTGTCATGTATGAATTGCAACAGTTTTTAACTTTTTCCAGTTTGTCTTACATAGTGCTTAATAGTTGAACTTTGTGTTGCACTGAAATTTTTAGCAGCCTTTACTCCTTTTTTTTTTTTTTGGGTCTAATGCTTTTCTCTTTCATGTTAGTTAAGTCTTAAGATTCTCGACCTCTTTATTTTTGATAGTAGAAAATATTTTTATGCATCTTCTTCAATTCTCAAATCTTATTTTTAAAAAAAAAAAAATTTACTAGATTCTACAAATCTGTTCCATAATATTGGATTTAAATATGCTGGAGTAATTTCTTCTCTTTTCACATCTTCTATATGGACTCCTTGGAGTGGGAGTCTCTTTTCTTTGGGGCAGGGATGCTGTCTTAATTTCTGTTTTAGAGGGAAGCTTATACAATTTTGATACTTCCGTAAGATTTCTCATATGATCAGGAATCCTCTAAGCGTGTGTTTGCTTTTGCTATATAATAGGTATCTCTGTTCCTTTAATATTAAACCTGTGGTCCTGAATGTTGCAAGAGTTCTTTCTGACAGCATTTTGATTTTGTCGATGCCTGTTTACTTTGATTTTGTTACTTTTATCCTTTCCCAGAAAACTAATCCCACTTTCACTGTGGATTTTTCTTGCTAGCTGGTGTTATAAATATCACATATACAAATTCCTTCTCAGCGGAAGGGCAGGTAAAGGTTATCTGACATCATTGTCTTTACACAGTTAAGACTGAGTCACAGGTTTTTTATGATGTCATGTTTTCTACATGTTTAAAATCCATATTTCTGTATCTGTTAGATTGTAGCAATAATACTTCACTAATAATCTTGATAAGCAAATTCATATCTAACTGAATGACTGTATTTGGGGTTTTATTTTTGCTCTCACACTTTGAGGTTTTTATTTTGCTCTCAAAACTGAAATTTTTTTTTTTTTTCTAAGGCTGGATCTTCAGCTCCATTATACGTTGAACAAACAGAGGAAACAGAAACAAATATAACAGATAGTACAGAATTATATGAGGATGGCCAGCTTCTTGGCCGCTCAAAAGCAATTGCAACTAAGACAAAGGAGATTGAACAGGTGAGTCCTCTTGGCGTTTTGTCACTGATACAGTACCTGTGTAATGGTTTGGTCTGCTAGAAATATGTTGGTTTATTTTTTCCTCCTTCTTGGAGCATAACGTGAATGTAATCTGATTTCTTGAGATGATGTGATGATAACATCTCCATCTATTTAACTCTGAAGAAGCATGGCATTTATCTGCACGTGGGAATTAGTGGTAGTTTTCTGTAACTTACATGCAACACCTGCTATTTTGCAAGCCAAGAAAATGACTGCTGCTTTGAATAATTGTTTTAAAATCGAATATAATACAGATAATTTCAAATGTAATTAAGAAGTAAGGCTTTATGTGAGGTCAAATTATCAAAAATCACTTTTGCACTGTAATTTCCTTAACTTAAATATATACAGTTTAGGATTGAACACTAGAAGCTGCCTGTTGGACTTGTTGTTGTTGTTGTTGTTGTGGGGGTTTTTTTTGGGGGGGGGGGGGGGGGTGTTTTGTTGGGGTTTTGTGTTTGTTTTTTTTAAATCAGCTTTGAATGTCAGTGCCTTTGTCGTTCTCTGAAGATTAAAACCTTTAAGTTTTGCTTTGACTACGGTGTTTTACATCTGGCTAAGGGAGGGATATTGAGTTCAAAATTTGTATTCTTTTTTCTGTTGAGTACTTGGGAATTGATTTAATACAAAACAAGATTTCTATTACTCTCCTTGTAACATTGTTTTTTTGAGGAGGTTCAATGGAAGTTTACGTATTAGTCTTTAATATCATGTCACCTCACAGTAAGGAAATTATCTACAATAACCTTCAATTTCATTTGTCATAAACAATCGAAGTGTTTTGTTTCCATATTTTTGTTACTTTAAATTGAGAGTTTGGAGATTTTTCTGACTTGATCTTTCTGACGTAAATGGAACTATGCCCAACTCTGGAAATTGCATTTGAAGTTTATAATTTGGGTGTGAGAAAGAGATTACTTTCTTCAAACTTGCTCTGATTTACAGTGTTTTCAGTGTATGCCTGGGATGGGTGGAAGGGAAATATAGATCACTTTTCCCCCTTATGATTATCTCATAATAACATCTTCAAGAAAATAGGTCTCTGGTCTTGTTCGAGATAAGCTTATTCTGGGTCTTCATTTTCCATCTTAATTCTAGTGGCCTTTGTTCTGTTGCCTGTGAGCCCATTTCCTGTACTGTAACACTGTTCCTTTTTTCTGGACACTTGAAAAACAACTTTCTACTCAACTGTTTTTGTTTCTTTTTCTTTTTTTTTTTTTTTTTAATGTTGACTTTGCGTAATCATGTTCCTAGTGAGCATGGCTTTGCATGTGTGCAAATGGGGTTAACCAGAGCATGCTGTAACTATGAGGGTCATGATGCAGTTTGTTTATCCCTATGTGTCTGATCAGCAGATCATACATGGCCCAAATCAGCTACTACCAAATGCATAAACTTCTGACTATTTAAGAATGACAAACTGAGAAAAATAAAGACTAGGAGTAGATTTAAAAAAAAAAAAAGCTATTGTGATTATTTAGCCTGATGCTGGTGAATCTGTGATTGGTTTATTTCCCACGAAGATCTAACCCTCGGTCCTAAGGACAGGCTTATAGTGAAGACAGATGAAAATTTGGGCATAAAAACTAAATGTTGTTTGCAATATGATCTAATGTTACTATGTTTAGTAGGGTTTGCACTTATCTCTAAGGAAATCTATATTATGTTCCGTAAAGTAGAATACTTTTAGGAACTTAGCTCAGAAAAGCCTGAGGAATAACTTAAAAAGATTTGGATTTCATGGAACCAGTTTCTCCTGTTGTTGATTTCAATATTGAAGCTGTCAGCTTCTGCAGAATTATATTGAAGATGCTTCTGGTGTCATTCTAAAATCTTATTTTATTTTATTCAACTCAACAAGATTCATATTTTTTTATAAAATCAGGTACTGTGAATTTGTTGAGAGCTAGAGAAGATATGTATTTAATCGTTTAAACTTAAGACTGTAAAATGACGTATGTGTTTTTCAGATGAATGTTTAAAAGTAACTTCTACTTCAGCAATTAAAAAAAAAAAAAATCCAGAAAATTTATTGTTGTGATAGTCCTGATGATTTTCATAATTGTGAAATACTGTGAATCTTCCTACTGTATATGGAAGCAGTCTCTCTGTAGAAATTTGTACACTATTCTGTTGACTTTGAGTTGTCAGCATCTAAAAGTAAATTTGGTTTAATTCTGTGTGGCTTGAGTTCTCTACCTTTGACAAGGAATGAGGGAGGGAGCAAAGAGTGGAATGGAAACTAAATTTGCAGTCCTGTGGCGAACTGCTGACTAAAGGTTCTTTGGATTAACTTCTCAATATAATTTTTACTGGTTTTGCTACTGTTTAACTGAAAGTATGTTTCTGGTTTTTTGCACAGTAAAATTACTCCTTAACATGCAAATTTAATACTATTGCTAGTCATGCTATATTGTTTATATAGATGCAACATTTAAATTTTAAAAGTGAACTGTAGGCTATAATACACTTTAGGAATATGAAGACTGACTTGATAATGAAATACAGAATACATTTATAAGAAAGCTTTTATATAATTTGTTTCTGATTATTTGTCTTGAAGACAGAAATAAACAGCAGAAAAATTTCTTATTCTGTGGACTTTTTTCCAGTTCAGGTGATTAAAATACCTTCTGAATATCTAGCTTGAATGTATTATTTCTGGAATGTCATTTTGTGGAAGGATTACTAAAATAAAATACTTATTGCAAAGAGTTATGCTGCAAAAAAGGTGAAGCTGTAATCCTTCTGCAAAGCAAGATTCCCAAAAGATTGGTTTTCAGTCTTCACTGGACAGCTAATAAAGTACTTTAAATAAATAAATAAATCGGACAGGGTAGAAATAGCTTCTTGTGCCACTGGGTATGTGTCTAAGAATTGGTGAGGGTCCAGCTAGTGTTTGAGAAAGTGAGGTTTGATTAGAAGGCTTGACCCGTCAGACCTCTTCTGCTTCTGTCTCCCAGGTTTTTCTGCTTTCTCTTGGAGCATCAGATCTAGTGATGTTTGCTTTTCAATTCATATTTATTCTCATCCTGATTCCTAGGTATTCTTTCTGTTCCAAACTCCTGTTAAAGCCCTCTTTGCTTTGTCCTCTCCATATCCATCTGTCTCCAAAGCTCAAACCAGGAAAAAGAGCAAAATTTTCCAAATACGTACTTTTACTTCATAGTACGGTACTATTTCAGGTAAACCCAGAGGCAAAAAACTGTGCTGACAGAACATGTACAGTGTGTTGCAATGACCGAATTCATTGCTGTACAGCAGAGAAACAGGCAGCTTGATGCCTTGGAGGGGGAAGAGGGGGTGGCAGCTTGTGGTTTAGTCTGTTATGTCTCTTAAGAAAAAACAACAACAAAAAAATCCCTTGGGCAATTGAATGAAATAGTCATACAAGTGTTCTGTTTAAGTAAGTCCATCTCCGTATCTTATGTATTGCTCATATCACTCTTTCGTAAAGTTCCCTCTACCTTTCCTCTAAGTTACAATAACACAATCGCCAAATTCAGAATTTTAAATGGAACGTGATTGTAAATGGTCGCTCTGGCTCATCAACAAAATATTTGTATATTATTTGTTTGATGGGGGACTCACTGCAAGCATTCATGTAAAATCATGTAATTTGAAGAAAAATAAAATTCTTTGTGTGCTGACTATGACAGGACAAAAATTGTCAAACAAGTGCTAGTTGCTGTTTGCAATTTAGTGACTATCTTTTAAGAGTCTGCAGTTGGTTTGCAAGTATTAACTGAAGCTGACATAAAGAGAGGAGAATAGAAGTTGTGCTCATGGATAAAGGCTCAGAAGAATCCGGACACTGTTTGAACAGAGCCAAGGGTTATCTATGTGATTCCCAAACTAGAAGAACTCCAAAGCATATCTTTAATTTGAAGTCTGCCAGTATCACTTGGGAAGGAAAAACATGGTTGAAGATGCAAAGGCACTTGAGAACATTGCTGGACTGGGACCGCAGATCCTGGAAGTCTCTGGTCTCATTTTGGAAATGACAGGCATAGTGACAGTGTCATAGAAATGTCCAGGTTGGAAGGGACCTCACCTGGGCCAATCTTCTCTTGAAACAGGGCCTTAGACCACATCATTCAGGGCTCTGTCGAGTCTTGAATATTTCCAGTGAGGGAGATTCCACTGTTTCTCTGGACAGCCTATTTCAGTGTTTCACTGCTCTCTCTCTGAGCTCAACTGCCATCAGTCCTGCATGCCGTTCTCCAGAACATGCATTCTTTCCGCCAAGGACACGGTTTCTGCTCCCTGCTCCTCCTGGCAGTTTCCCATCCCCATCCTTGAACTGTGGAGTCCCAGTTCCTTGCTGTGGTCCCTTGCTTTTGGCTGGCCTCACCTGGGGAGGTGAGGGACCTGCTCCACCTGGAGTGGGCTCAGCTGCTCTCAGGGAAGGGTTGAGTTCCCAGGACCTGCTGGCTCTGCCACTTCGTGGTTGGTAGAACAGGATCTTTCCTGGCACTTCCGCGCAGCAGGTACTGGGAAAACTGATCCCTTCCATCCTGGTGCATTTTCTGTTCCATCTTTACACCTCTTTGTGCTGAATGAAAATTCTGCAGCATAAATGTGTGTCTCATGTTTTAATATGTTCTGTGAAGTAGGATCTAGATCCATGAGGTGGCTTTTGATGTTCTGTTTGTAAGCAATCAAAAACTTGGGAGAGTTTTTAAAAGCAAAAGTAGTGAGGTAATTAGCATTCTTGTCGGTTTGTTTTTTGGGTTTTTTTTTGAGCTAAGTGTTTCCTTATGCCTTTGAACATGTCTTTCCCTCTTTCCTCCACAATTACAATTTTGAAATTTGGTTTAGATGTTTTCTGAGCATGGTGAGGTAAAAGCCCATTAAATAGGTGTTTAAAAAATTGGTCAGGTACTTGAGAATAGAGTAGCAGAGAATTTTGCATTGGCATGTCAGGGTCAATGAATATTCATAGGTTGCTGATGTAA